CCCCAAAACCCCAAAACCCCAAAACCCCAAAACCCCATGTCTTACTCAATAATAAAATTATAAATTCAGAAAGCAATGGGTAGTTGCGCCTTATCGTCAAAAAAGAGGAAAACGATTTATGAACAATCTCCAAAAATAAACAAGTCATGCTTCAAGTAAGTTGGAGACTGATCTGATCGGTAACCTTACTTTCTATAGTATGAAGTATGCAATAGGTAGAGGTGGCTTTGGAAAAGTATGGAAGGTTGAATACAAAAGAGACAATAATATTTATGGTAAGCTTGTAAACCCTAGACCACCTAAACATCTGAAAATACTGCCCATAGAGTACAATTTTATGCTACTTTTTTAGTTCTACTGCGAATGTAATTTATTATTTGTAGCGATGAAAATCTTATCAAAGGCAAGAATTATCGGTAAATAACTGAGTGAAATCAATTATGAACGAAAGAAAAATACTTGAAATTTTGGACTGACCATTCCTTGTAAATCTCAAATTCGCCTTCCAAGACCACCATAATTGATATCTGGTGACAGATCTTATGAGTGGAGGCGACCTCCGTTATGCTTTTATCCAAAAGAAAACTTTTACCGAAGATCAGGCAAAATTCATAATAGGGGCTATATTAATCGGTTTGGACTATATTCACGACTACAATATCATACATAATGACATCAAGCCTGAAAACATAGTTTTTGATAATGAAGGATATCCAAGGATAACAGACTTCGGAATTTCAATCTGAAGCACCAATAATTGGGATTCAAAAATACTTCCTGTAAGAAAAATTGCATTTTCAATAAGCTGTTGAAGCTTCGATAATTCAAAATTTATAGGGTTGTGATGCACGTTGAATTGGCACCCTCGGCTATATGGCTCCTGAGAAAATATTCAATACAGGATACTCCCGCATGGTTGATTTCTACGCTCTAGGCGTAATTTTGTATGAGTTCATTCTTGGCAGAAAACCATATAAATGAAAAGACAGAAAAGAGTTAAAAGAAAAGATGAAGAATGATCCAGCCTTTATTTCTAAAAGTGAGCATCCTGACACATGGAGTAGTGATGCTAGAAATTTTGCAAACAGATTGCTCGATAAATCAGAAACCGGTAAAGACTTTAAAGTGATCAATTTAGACAGGATAGGATCAGAAGGAATTGAAGAAATTCTGACCCATCCATGGTTCGATGACCTTGACTGGGATAAGTTAGAGAATCGCGAACTAAGTACGTTCAAAATGTTCATCTCTCATTTTAGCTCCTCCATATATACCTGAAACAGAGTCTGATAATTTTCATTCGCATAATGTGAACAAAACAGACAGATGGATGAATGAAAACAAAACAGTTCTTGAAAAGTCAAAGCAAATGCTAAGGCACCCAACAGTGCAAGACTTATTTAAAGATTATGGGTATTTTCCATGCTAAATTAAATTTCAACATCAAATTTTTTTATTGGGGTTTTGGGGTTTTGGGGTTTTGGGGTTTTGGGG